CAAGTTGGAATTATGTAACCTGTATAAGATTAGAGGGTAGTCTCTTGGGTAAGATGTGAGGCATTTCATCTTTGCTCATTTCAACCACCATGTGGCTACAGCTCACTCAACACTGGCCGACAGGGGTGGGAATGGTTTTAACAGATTTTTTAAAAGTTACAATAACCCCAATGACGACTAAACACATTCTCTATCTATCTTACTCCTCTTTTCAACATGCCAGAAGAGTTGGTGAGAAAAACTGACAGGGGTGTGCTTGCACTGAAATCTGCATCAGATGAGGCGAGGCAGGGAAAGACAGTAAGGTCTGTCCCCAAAGAATACTCTATCTGCCATGTGACAGTGAGCAAAAAAAACAGCAAAACCTCAGAGAAAGAGGATCCGCACAGCTGTCCTGTGTGGGCTATCATAGCAGTCTTCAATGTGCAGCAAGAGGACGTGTTGACGGGTGACTTGACTGAGGAAGGAGAGCTGGTTAGACCAAAGTAAGAATTGGTTATTAGTGTATGTATATGTTATTTGGGCCCAAGCACCACGTTGTGCAAGGACCCTATTGAAATGCAAGGAATTTTTTTTCTTCTTCTTCTTCTTCTTCTTCTTCTTCCTCCTCTTCCTTCAAATGAATGTCGTTTTTTGTGGGTCTAAAGGTTCTCAAAAAGTCATGCAACTTTGCACACATATCACAACTGGTGAAAAATTTGATATATCTCATCCTCTGCCTCAAAACAATGGCTTTGTAGCACTCCCCTACAAAGTTTTGATGACACAGCCCTCGAAGCTGGTTTCACTTACATGTACAAAACTTGGTAGGCACATGTAACACACCAAGACGTACAAAAAAGTCTCTTGGAGCCACACCCTCAACCCAACAGGAAGTCAGCCATTTTCAATTTACTGTGCAATTTTGGTGCATTTCTGGCCATTTCCAGGGGTCGTACTTTAACAAACTCCTCCTACAGATTTCATCAGATTGACTTCAGATTGTGTCTATAAAGTCTATCATACTTTTGCATCAAAACTTTCTTAAAGTTTGACTTACTGTCCAACCGCGTAACCGTGGCAAGGCGTCAAACTTTCAGGTATTGCCACCAAACAGGAAGTTGTCGTAACTGCTGTGTAAGGTACACAGCAGTTACGACAACTTCCTGTCCAATCTGCCCCAAACTTCACATGTTTTATAAGGCTCCAGGCCTGAAGCCATCAACATGCAAATTAGGTGTCGTGGTGATTGCACCACCTTCTGGCAACAGGAAGTACGTCTTTTCAGAAATTTTACATGAAATTTACACAGTGGGGTCTACAATTGATTAACAGCAACATGACATATAATTGGTGTGTTCTCCAGCGCTACATAGTGGACACAGGAAGTGGTGCAAAATGTGAAACTGGTCATTCCAACATCCACACTCTATGAAGGACATACTATCTCAATCCTGCATGTAAGGTCTGACTTTCACAGAAAGGAACAGCGGCATCAGCTGGTGGAATTCCTTGTATATCACAATTTATGAATTCTGTGATATAGTTGGAAAAGTTGGAAATATTTCTATTTGTAGGAGACAAATAAGGATACCTTGTGCCAAAATTTGAGAGCTCTAACACAGAAGTTCAGCATGTTACATATCCTGACAATAAGTGCTAGAACCATACCCAGTCTCCCCTACTTTATGCTTGCCTTGTGGATGCTTGTGTTTAATTGGAGTGGAAAATAAAAGGGAAGTAACTAACAAGTAGGGAATTTTTAATGAAATAATATTCTCTGGTTAGCTGACTACAAGGCCAGCTGGAACATCAGTGTTTGTTTTTTCAAAGAGTGCCTGGATCTACAGACCACTGACTCCCCCGCCACTCTCCTTTACTCCTCTGACTCTATTTCTTTGTCGGCTCTCTCCAGGCTGATACAGAACAGAGCAAGATGGACCCTCAAAGAAACATCAACAGAACTGGTAAAGGGGAGTCTAATGATCATTTTCAGTCATGGACTGGTGGTTTTAAAAGTTTCAAGGCAATGTTTTTTTTTTAACTTCAAACTGATACATATATTCAACAAACTGAACTTTTTGTCTGTTTATTCTCTTTCTCTATGCACTAAGGATGGTTTGTTGAACTTAATTTGCTCCCTTAAGGTCAGTATTACTGCTTCTCCCTGTTTTTTGATTCATCGGCCTCCTCTCAGGCCATCTCAGATACATTAAAGATAAGCTGTTGCCAATCTCCAATACTTGTAAATGTAAAGCCACATATCCTCAGATGCCCTTTATCAGGTAGCAGGGAGGCAGCTGATGTTAAAGTCTTATTACCTCCACAAAAGAGGTCATGTTTTCTGTTCAATTTGTGCGTCTGTGTGCTTGTCGGCAGGATTACTGAAAAACAACTGGCCTGATTTTCAAGAAACTTGATGGAAGGGTGTAACACAGGAGAACCCATTAGATTTTGAAGCAGATCTGAATCACGGGGCGGATATACAAATTATTTCTCACTTTCCTTCAACTACAAATACAAGTCTGGGCCGGGGTCTGCACATGGCTCTCACCTCTGCTGTCACAAGCAAATATGAAGGTGGCTGAGCTATAACTAACAATGACAACAGTGCTGACAGAGCTAACAGTGTTAATGGGGGTTAGCTCACGCTCACCAGGGCAACCTAGGGAGGAACTGTGGGGTGGGTGTTACACTTTTACTAAAACACCGTCCAACCACCATGGGTAAGGAAAGCGTTATCAGCTGTGCTAACAGTGCTAACAAAACTAGCTCTGACAACAGTGCTGATAATGACAGAGCTTACAGTGTTAATGATGGTGAGCTCATACTCCCCGGGGTGACCTGGGGAGGAACTGCAGAGTGGGTGTTATGCTTTCACTTAAACACCGTCCTGCCACCATGGGTCAGGACAGCATTATCAACAGTGCTAACAGTGCTAACAAAACTAGCTATGACAGCAGTGCTGATGATGACAGTGCTAACTGTTAATAGGGGTTAGCTCACGCTCACTGTGGAGACCTGGGGGGGGAAACCTGATGACACTATCCTGCTACTGTGGATCAGGGCAGCATAATCAGTAGTAACCATCGTATGAGGACCACCTTATGAGTAACACTGTTTCGTACATGCCTGGCCCATCCATGTAGTTAGCTCATCAGTGAGGACATGTGCTCTCCGATACACGTCAGATGTTCAGAACTACCAGTGCCAGCTGCTTTGTGTGGGTGTGACTATCAACGTGACTTTAATCTTCTGTTACCTGTCGTCCAGTTTGTCCTCCCATTTACTTGACTCACTAGCAAGGACCACGCCACAACAATATGTCCTTTAAATATGTCTAGTCTTTGTAGTTCGTCACCAGCTTGTACACCTCACCAACGTACCTGTCTGGATGGATTTGCTATTTCTGTATCATAATTTCCAACATTTCCTTTATGTATCACATCCGTTTTCTTTACTTTGTGGACACCATGCTGTAAATGTCAGCAAGAATCACACAAAATATGAGAAAACAAGTATTAAGGAAGATGATGCCTCTCTCCATTCGCAGCAAGAGTGAGTGAGGGTTGTACGTGTATGTAGTATTAAGCGTTTCCTCCCTCCACTCCTAGAAAAGAAGTATAAAAGGCTTTAAAGGGAGGTGCCCTATATGGTCTGACTGTCTGGCTGTCCGACCGAGCTGCAGAGTCAGACTGAGTTAATGAAGTGCCAGATGAGCGCTCCTTGTTAATATCAGCCACTCATGCATTTCAGGAAGCCATTTCTTCTGTCAAGGGGAACTAAGTCTGCTAACCTAATTTGGTGAAGAAAATGTGCAACAGTTTTTCAGGAGGAAAAAAAACGTGTATCATCATTTCTCTCATTTGCCCCCCGTGATTGATGCTGATCACTGATCTGCTACATTGTAATTGAAAAGGCATGCAGTGTTTGGAGGTGGGTAGAGCAGAGGCAGAATTACGCATTCACGCAGCACACAAACATGCACTCTGTGCTACACACTCTGCCACTGAGCTAATTTGACTCACTTAAAATCTCATGGTAGTTTTCTAGCATTTCAGTAGGTACAAAGGCAACGAGAGTTCTTGGTAAGATAGAAAATTCATCCGAGAAAGGAGGAGGAGGGCTAGCACGCAGTACAAAATAAATGGCAATAATAGGGCAGTGGAAGAAGAAAAAAGAGAGAACACATTAATCCCAGAGCACTCTGCTTGTGGTTTCTAACCTGACAGCCGTAGGCAAAGACACTGAGGAAAAATCACACGAAAATACAGACAGAGATACAAAGACAGGCGTAGAGGCGAGGAAGTAAAGTGGCAAGGTTGATTAAAGGACATAGAGACACAGATATGAACAGGTGGGCCGAGAGATAAGTGCTCATGATGAGGCTCGTTTGGTCTCAGGTTTTCCTATTAGTGAGGGCCAATGCTCATCTGCCATATGGCACTGGTTCAGCCAACTCTATGTTCACTCGTGGAACCTAAAGTGTTGTACGTAAGGGTTTGTTTCATCCTTGTTCCTTGTTTAAACATGATTTACTGTTTCAAGTCAAACACAAACCTTGCTTAATGCTTTTACTCTATTTGGAGAGGTTCCTCGTCAAACCCCTGAGTTAAGAGTCTCTTCTTCTCGGCACAGTTGCAAGCTCTTTGATTAAGTGGTTTGTGGGCATGCATGCACAAAACTGGGACAGTTACTTTTCGGAGATCCAAGGGCTGGCAACTAAAGATCTTGGTGCAGAAAACTGATTTTTTTTTTACCTCAATACCAACAAACTAACCAATTAGTCAGAAGCAATTGTAATTGTAGTAACAGCGTATCGATGTCATATGCTTTGTATGCCAATCCACCTCCTCCCTAACCCTTTTTATGGCAGTGTAACAAAGAGCCCTTCGTTACTAGTGACTGATGGCTTTGGCCTTGTAAATATTGCACAACTGGGTCTGTGTATGAATGTCACTTTTAAACAAACAACTTAATTAGGCACTTTAATAATGGCACATGGCACTTTCATGGTGATAGTTGCACTTTATTAGCATTATTTGCTCAGAGCAGTTTGCACATTGCATATTTGCACATGAGCTTTATTGAATATGTGATGCGGATGAACATTTCAAACCATGGTGAAATTGATGAGTAGTGATTGGTGACGGGTGTTGTCTTCTGCCAGGTGCGGTTGTGGATGATCTGCTTCACCTGAGGAGGGGAGGGAGTTAGAGTAGACAATACTGTGTGTGTACCTACAAGGTTCATAATTGATAAACAGTTAAAATTAAGTGCTGTTGAGTTTTGGTTCATCAGACATAACATAAATGTGCTTTAATATTGCAATGTGAAAGTGTTCATTAGTGTGTTAAAGTTGCGGCCTGTGTTTGAGTTGTTTGTGTAGATTCTTACCTGTCCATCCTGTGTCTCCTCCAGGGTGTTCGGCCAAAAGAGTCCCCGGGGATACGAACACCAACTTAAAGGTTCCGGGAGAGACTAAGTGATGGGATAGGAAGAGGGGAGTTTGGTAGTTGGTGTATATATGTATATTTATTGTAGTGGGTTTGTGTTTATTCTGGGGGGGTAAATAGCAGTACAGTAGTCATGGTAAATATTATGGTAATTGTATGCTTGTTATATTGTCCGTGGTGATTAGCCATGAGATAATATATTTTGTTAAAAAAAACCTGTTAATGGGAGCATCCAATCAAGTGCACCAGTGATAGGGTATAAAAGGCGCCAGTTTCCATCTGTCCTTGATGCTGGTCAGGTCTCCCATCTGTAAATGCTGCCATGCCTGTACCGCTGTATGTGTTTCTTTTTTCTGGTTTGGTGAATAAACACCCATGATATGGTGCACCGTACAATTGCCTTTTGACTGCTGTCTTACTGCATCATCCAGCCGCTATGTTCATCCTAACAGGCAGCATACAACAGGTTGGCGTTATTTGAGACTTGGCTACAGAGAAGGAACAATCATTAGTCACACCAGTGCAAGAGGTGCTCGTCATGACAACATAAACATAAATTTTGGTGAGTATTTAATGAAACTACCCACACTGTTTTTCTATTGAGGACAGTCTCACTGTTGCAGATGCAAGTCTTTCTCATGAACATTATCTTCCAAATATTCATATACAGATATTATGTACGTCACTAATTCTATGTCAGGTCTGACCAGCTCAAGTGAGAAATGGAATATTGTTTTCCAAAGAGGCTTATATTTCCTTATCACCTCCGAGCAGAGAAGAGTAAGAGTCCAAGAAAGTCTTGTGCTTGAAATCAAGTGCTCATAAGAGAAAGTCTTATTTCTTGATCAAATTTTAGCATTGATATTGTTGGATACATGTTCCTATTTCCCTCTACAAATTAGTGAAATACATGCTATAATATGTGTGATCCATTATTGGCCTTTTGCAATGTACATGTGTATTGTAGCATGCATTAACTAACAAGCCTGATTTTATGCATTATGCACATCTTATTTATGAGGTCGTAAGTGTCATTGAGTTTACACCCCTTATCAAACGTGTCGTTTCATTTTCAGTTTAATTACAAGCCGTGATGTTGAAAATTAACCACTGGTTTGTTTGTTCATCCACAAATAAAGCAATCTTATCAACTATTAGTGCAAAGTATCATGTCATCTTTTTTAACCGGTAACCAAGGGCAATCACTGAGTATGTGAGTGGCACTGCACTCATTTTCACCTTGCATCTCCACTTTGGCAATTTTACACATCTACGATTAGCAAAGAGTGCCAATTTACTCTCGAGCAGACACAGGTCTGAAGGACACCAAATGGTTTTAAGCTTTGCTGTTGTTTTCAGTTTGATGCTCTGCCAGATTAGATGAGATACTACTGCAAGAAAAAACAAAACAGAAATGGAAACCAATAACTCATCAAGCTATTTAGATTGCAGCAGTTTCAATTATGTATTTAAATTTAGCCTATCTTACTATATGTTACTATATAATGATGAAAACTCTGTCTGTGTGTGTGTCTGTTTCATGTTTTTCTCCTCACTGACTTGGTCAATCCATGTGAAATTTGGCACAGTGGTAGAGGGTCATGGGAGGATGTGAATGAAGCAATATTACATCAATTGGCCAAAGGGGGGCGCTATAGCAACCGATTGAAATTGCAAACTTTGAATGGGCATATCTCATGCCCCGTATGTCGTAGAGACATGAAACTTTGCACAGAGATGCCTCTCCTCATGAGGAACAAATTTGCCTCAAGAACCCATAACTTCCGGTTATATAGATTTTCCGCCATTTTGAATTTTTTGAAAAACACTTAAAATCGATCTCTTCCTAGGAAGTTTGACCGATCTGCATGAAACTCGGTGAACATAATCTAGGGACCAATATCTAAAGTTCCCTCTTGGCAAAAGTTGGAAAACCTACTAAAACTGAGCTTCTATAAGGCAATGAATATTGCGGAGGGCATGGCTCATCACATAAAGGTGTATAACATCTCAAGGGTTTCACCGATCACCACGCAACTTTGTAGGCATATGACCACACATAATCTGAGGGGACCCCTCCATTATTGACCCCATCAAACAAAATGGGGGTGCTAGAGAGCTAATTTCTTATCTAGACCTAACCGCCATATGGATTTTTACTAAACTTGGTAGATATGTATAACAGGACACCTCAAGGTGACTGGAGAAATTTAACTCTAATTGGCAACTGGGTGGCGCTATGACAACAGAAAAATGTTTAAAAATGGATAAAATGCGACGATCGCTGTGGCTCCCCCTGTGGCCCAATGTTGTTTTTTTTTCTCTAATTTTTGGTATGACTAAGTCATGGTATGGTATGCTGTGCATAATCACAGAAACTGTCAGTGTGTCATTCTGTCTGTCCCATGTTTGACAAATGAAACCATTCTATCACTATTGGCAATGGTACTACTGTACTTTCAATAAAGCAATCATACTATCAAATCCACAAAAACTCTGTCTGAATACATTGCTCTTCTTAATGGGTTCAGTTGACTATTTAATCTGCAATTTCCTATGACCTGTATCCCAAACACACACCATGTGTAACTGTATGTGGGCAACTGTGCACTCAATGGGTATGGACTAGTAGATGTTATTTTGGATAAATATACTACAGTAAGTACTGTCAGTGTTTAGGATGAGAAGAACTTCAAATGTCTCTGTAATATCTGAAGACCTCAGAAATACTTTTTATGCCTCTACACTTATTTTGTATGTAGGATACGGTCAAACAAAGATTTACAGTTGGATCCTATTTACTTCTACAGTCCTTTACAAATTCAATCTAAATATTGTAATTCTTCTATGTTTGGTTTTTCTACTACTTTGCCCTCTAGAAAAGAAACCATTGCCCTTTACCACATGCTACTGTAAAATCCATATAGCCAGACAATGAATAACCTTCCATGGTATATAAGCCTCTTAGGAGAAGAGAAGCCATATGGCACTCATCACCTCTGTTGATCATGGGTTTGTGGCAGCAATGAAAATCTCCATTGTCCGCAGGTTAATCCTGGTATTTCAGGGATTTTAGGTACTTCATCTGACAAATTTAGCTGCAATGAGCACAGATGACGCATCAGACCCTAATTTGGTGATTGCGCATGACAGAGCCTTTATATTAATGATGACTATGAGATGTCATTTTCTTGAGGTGCATGTGGTTCTTTTTCTTTATACCAGCAACCATTAGGTATTTAGGTGACTCACTTTGAATTACACCACTGTGGGAAGCGGAGTCTGGGGCAGAATGGACTTTTTAGATGTCAAAGACCAACGTATTAAACCCGTTGTTCCGAAGTCTGTTCCGAAATCATCATGATGCCCTGTGGTTAAGGTCTGGTTAGGTTTAGGCACAAAAACCACTTGGTTAGGGTCAGGAAAAGATCATGGTGTGGGTTAAAATGAAAAAGAAAGTGACAAACACATAAGCCGTGAGCCTGCTCCGCCTCAAGCCTTTCCCAGCTGACCCAGAGCCGGTCGCGGCGCACCATATGCCCGACACGAGCCGTTCAGCACCGCGGACAGTCGGACTAATGGGATGTCGAACCAATGGGCTGTCGGACCAATGACATGGACCCGGCAAGAGAAGGAGAGGAGGCTTTATAGTGACTGGTGCGTCGAAGGGTATGCAAGGTGCTGTCCCGTTACTGCTGTATATCACTGCTATATGCCATTTAGTGGTGGCTGCTAAGCAGAGTCGCTGCCAATGTCCCTGGAGGAGCAACCATGCAGCCGTCTTGTTGAGGTCAGGATGTGTGGACTGTCAAATCATTCCACAACCAGAAACCATGAATCACCAGAACCACACAGAAACATTGACAATTATAAAGCAGCAGCCAACGATGCAAGAAAATGCAAAAAAACGACTAAATTACAGCGCACAAGTTAAAGAGTATGATACACCACATTAACGCTCCCAAGCCCTCACATATCGTGGCTTGGTCTATGGACTTCACGTCTATGTACTACGCACTAGCTATCGTTGATGCATCTATTGTTGACGTTCTGGTATGCAATGTCAGTTTACGCCTGTTACATACATTGTGTCTTCTCAAAATATACTTCTGTTTTCTCAGTAAATGTTTCTGCTCGTTAGATGCATAAAGACTTTTTCAAACTAAATTTACAACATTGGTAAAACACTTTATTTCATTGTGCAACAAAAGCATGTGGTTGAGTGTAGAAAAAACATCATGGTTTGGCTTTACGTTTATACGGGAAGCGAAAACCAGGGGCCATATTCACAAACATTTCGAGAATACTCTGAGAGCTCCTATTTTAGCCTAAAAACTTTTAGTAAGGAGTCCTAGCTTAGGAATGATTTAGGAAAGAGCAACTCCAAGCAAGAACGGGATGGAAACTTTTACCTTAGTGAGGGTGTGTGGTTGACCCTGTTGCTAGGTGTGATGCTCCCTTTTAACAGATGTGATTGGTTGTCAGAGATACGCCCCTTTGTGAGCTAGTAAGGTGTAGACACGCAGTGGAAATGAAATGAACTGCATCATGATATGAGATTGACAGTGTGGTTATTATTGGTATGATCATTCTGCTGATGGAAGGCTGAGACGGACCAAGGTCATTGGTAGTATTTCATTTACTCACTGTCTAGAGACCATTTCTCTGACCTCTTTGTGTTTCCGCTATTTTGTCCTCTGTTTAAGAAACTCTTAAGCCTCTTAAAATTCCTCCTCCCTGCTCCTCACAGTTTTCACCTTAGGAGTTCTCTTAAGGTCTAAGATGCCTTGTGAATAACTTTTATCTTTAAAAGGACCTTGTCAACTTTAAGGGGAAATTCTAAGCAAACGTCATAATTCTAAGTATTTTCTTAGAATTTCGTCAATAGGACCAACTCTTAGCACTAGGAAGCTTTGTGAATACGACCCCAGGCTCCCGGGTGAAAGTCCGGTGTTGACCTGCATGCCATACAAGGACTTTCCAGGTCCTTAAATTATGTTGTTGTCTGATGGCCTCCCAAACTGTTACTGTATGGTGGTGTTATTAACTGACGCAGCCCAACAGCGTAGCATACGTCAAGTAAAGATCAAGTAATTTTGTCGGTGTCTGACATGGAAATCAATGACCAAGCGGCGGTATTTGACGAATTTGTAATAAGAACGGGGTGGCTGATGGGATCACATTCCACTGGAGCTGTACCTTGTATAATCCCATGAGACAAATAAAGTATTAATTAATTGACTGGCTGGCTGGCTGGCTGGCTGGCTGGCTGGCTGGCTGGCTGGCTGGCTGGCTGGCTGGCTGGCTGGCTGACTGACTGACTGACTGACTGACTGACTGACTGACTGACTGACTGACTGACTGACTGACTGACTGACTGGTTGGTTGGTTGGTTGGTTGGTTGGTTGGTTGGTTGGTTGGTTGGTGCAAAAGAAATTGAAAACATAACTACTTAAATACCTTGACACCATAAAATAGAGCCTAAAAGTCCAATAGTACTGACATAACACCTCTATGGCACAATGTCAACAACAATTAATATTCATTACAGGACTGTTACATCAGATTATCTGAGATTATCTTACCCGTCACTTAAAGTATCACGTCCCCACTGTCCTCACTGCTTACAGGATCAATTTCAATATTCTGCTGATCAATTATGAAGTCATTTTAATCAAGTCCCAGCTTTGACACGGCCACACCAGCATGTACTTTGTGTGTTCCCCACTCCTTGTGTTTTCCATGTCCCCAGTTTGTCTGTGTGTATATGTGTGTGTGAGTCTCATTCCTGTTCTGCTGCTAATCTGGACCCAGCCAACCAACACACATGCTGGCAATCAGCTCATCACCTCTCCTGGCTCCGGCTCACCACACACCTGGCTACAATCAGATCATCAAGCCCACAGTGTATTAACAAAAGGATAGAGCTTTCCTTCCACTCACTGCAGTCTCAGTGGTAGATACGCTCAGGACCCTAGTCACTCTACTAGTAGATTTTACTTGTGCATTCCTTACTTCATCTAATGCTTGTTTGTTCCCTGTGCTCCAGGAGCTGCCTACCTGTTTGCTCCCTCGTTCCCTCAGCTTCCTCTGGTGCCACACCAACCAGACACTCCCCCCTCTCCTTCTTGTAACTCCCAAGTCACTCACTCACATTGGTCGTCTCCTGCTTCAGTAGCTACTGCAATAACCTGTTAAACTTTATCTGCCCTCTGGTTTGGTCTTCTGGGTGGTGCTGGGAGAAGTTTACCTTCAGGGCTTTTTGCCAGAAAGCCCTTTCTTGGTTAGGCTGAGGAAAGGTTTTTGGTTTGGGTTCAAATGAAAATATTTCTTCCAGAAAGGGTCTTCTTGGCAAAGAGCCCTGAAGGCAGACTTCTCCCATGTGTGTTTTGGGTCCACTTGCCAACAACTCCTAAAAAGCTTGGGGTCATGATCTCCAAACTCCATGCCATACAGGGATGATGAAGTCACCTGACCAAAGCTCGTTGGCTCATTTTCAAAAATTTAAAACCAACAGTAGCAAAGCTTTTGCAGTTTGGCATTCAGGATCTGGCATAGCCTTGCTGGGCTCGTCGGTCAGCAATGAGGACTGATGTGAAGTGTCTGAAATTCTGTTTGTAAAGACAGGCCTTTTATTGATGTCTGGGTGTCTCTTTATTGATTGAAGTATGTCTCATTTATTTTGCTTTATTGACTCGTGAAGCACTCCATAAAGGTACTACATAAATAACCTTCACCACAACACAAATAAAGGTTGATTGATTGGTTCTCCTGGGATTTATTAAAGAAATCTAAGGCCAAGACACACTGTAAATTAAATAGGAAGGGGCATGGCATGGTTACACTGACAGAAAGCTCACAGAATTTATTTTTCTTGTAGTGTTTGAGAGTTGATATGAGTCGTAGCCTATAACCTGAACTGACCTTGAAATAAACAACCAACTCTTTAGAATGATTCTGCAAAACTCTTTCAAACAGCATCATTTCTGTTTCTAAGAAAGGAGCTGTCAAGCCGAACCATCCCCTCGCCCTCTGGGTCAAAAGGAGATCTGTGCTTCACAATTCACTACCTCCAAAACATACAGAGACCGCCTAATGAGGAAAGTCATGGAACCAGAGACTGAAGACATAACACGAGGCCAAGTGACTGTTTTGTCATCATAACAGCCTGACATACTTTTTCTGTTACACAGTAAATATGGCTTTGTCACATCTCTTGAGAGTTTAAATAAATACCATGACGTTTGGGTTCGTCCAGTGCTTTTTCTGGTGTGGCAAGTCCTTCATTTTTTCTTTGTTTGCACTGCTGCTGACTGAATAATACAGCTGTGCAAGAGATTTTTTTATTATAAAGGTGTTCTTGTTCTTTCTCTTTATTGATCACAATAAAGAAAGAGTAGATGTGTGGAAGGAAATACACCTAACTTACTTTGTTTGCAGAAACAAGTTGGGGTCATAAACTTCAACTTGGTGATTGATCTGGTGACCTTGCTTTGATGGAAACAAAATTGATATTTTGTTCTCATACTTGTGCACACAAAACAACGATTCATCTGGAAAAAGATTTAAAAAATTAAATCAGATAGCAGTGATTATTGTGTGTATTGTTAAGGCATCTTGTTCTCTTGTATAACTAGTAGCAGGAGAGGCAATGAAGTAATTTTGTTTGAATACAAAGTGCTTAAAAAATTATTGCTGTTTGAATTTGTAGTCTAATTGCATTACATTCTGTCACATCATGATATATTCATGTGATGCAACACCAAATAAAATTGAAAAACCTACAGCATTCACAAATGTACTATTAAATACCTCTCTCTGAGAACATCCCTATCTCCCAACGCCTTGCCTCTCTGCACCAACCAAATCTAATAAAGAAAACATTCTCCTTGGACTTCTGACACCAGACTGAAAACCTCTCTCTTCGCCATGAAAAGAATATTGCTCCAGATTCTCAGGTGCCTTTGATCAGCAAATCCAGTAACCGACCGGTCAGTCACGTCTTGTCTGATGTTGGCACTCTGTTTACCGACCAGATGCTCAGACTGGCAGCTCTGCTCTTTAAAGAGTGTTAATGTCTTTTTGAGGGGATTGGAGTCAGTGTAAATAACCCTATTACCCACACATGATATGAGCAGTGACCTGGCCTGAGTGTGACCCCGAGACACGCTAAATAAGCCCCCGGTGTGGATAGATACACACAGGGGGCATGAATGCAGTTGTTTGTGCTTTGCAGATACAGTCTCATTCTGTTATAACTGGCTTCACAGCTGACTTTAGCCAAAGAGAAACACCTACAAAATCTTAATAACCACAGTAGGAGTAGTTTTGTTTTGATAATGCTGAGTTTCAATAACGCACAGATGACATAGTGACAATATCACACTGCAAGTCTCACTTGAAAGTGGCAGTTGAAAACAAAAAACAAAGACAGCCCCTCTAACCCAACTCAATAGTTCTTCTTCTTCATGTGGTGTGTAGCCATTAGGTGCAACTGGACAGGGTCCATAAAAGTGACTGAGAGGTGCTTTACCCCATGTTTGCTCCGCTGCGTAGACCCATATGTAGTAATGGTAAAGATCAATACCCAGCTGCTGTATCATCATTCACCCTTAGTCCATACTGTCTGTGGTCCAGCTAACTGGCCCCATTTGACCATTATATTGTCATGTGTTATGAGTAACACAAGGGGTGCTTGGCAACAAATGCTGGCAGGATGTTTGAAGAATGACCCATGTAGGCCACGGTCTGCTGCACACTGAAAACAGCCATTACCACTGACAAGCAGCACCTATCTTGCTCATTAAGTGTTGAGCCTCTCAACTGCAGTTGAAGTAATAACACTGAAGTTTGCGGCTCAGCCAAATGTTCTTTTTTCTTTTTTGGTGTAAGGATTGTTGCATGAATGCGTCAGTTAAGCTGATCAAATGAGTGGTGTGACTGGTTGCATAAAGTAATATGATCATCTCTACTGGGCTAATAATTGTGTCTGTTCTGTAATATTTATGGAAAAGAGAACTAAACGCTCAGTGGCCACTTTATTAGGTACACCTTCCTTGTACCCAGTGTACTCAGAACTGGCTTAATTCTTCGTGGCTTTGATTCAACAGGGTGCTGGAAACATTCCTCATAGATTTTGGTCCATATTGACATGATAGCATCACACAGTTGCTGCAGATTTGTCGGCTGCACATCCATGATGTGAATCTCCTGTTCCACCACATCCCAAAGGTGCTCTATTGGATTGAGATCTGGTGACTGTGGAGGCCATTGGAGTACAGTGAACTCATTGTCATGTTCAAGAAACCAGTTTGTGATGATTTGAGCTTTGTGACATGGTGCGTTATCCTGCTGGAAGTAGCCATCAGAAGATGGGTATACTGTGGTCATAAATGGATGGACACGGTCAGCAACAATACTCAGGTAGGCTGTGGTGTTTAAACCATGCTCAGTTGGTACTAAGGGGCCCAAAGTGTGCCTAGAAAATACCCCCCACACCATTACACCACCACCACCAGGCTGAACCGTTGATGGATCCATGCTTTCATGTTGTTTATGCCAAATTCTGACCCTACCATCTGAATGTGGCAGCAGAAATCCAGACGCATCAGACCAGGCAACATTTTTCCAATCTTCTATTGTCCAGTTTTGGTGAGCCTGTGCTAATTGCAGCCTCAGTTTCCTGTTCTTAGCTGACAAGAGTGATCCATACCCAATATAAAGTAGCAAGAAATTTTCTCACTCATCATTGTTCACCCACAACCATGGGTAGATTATGAGACAGTGACCTCCTGGGCACAGATATGCAAAAAGCCCCACCACCTTTCCTACACAGGAGCAAGACACACAGACTTTGTAGTCATTATGCATCTTTTTTGTCATTTTGTGTCTCTTGGTGGTTGTTTGAGCTAATTTTGTGTCTTTTTATGTTGCTGTTTTGAGTCTCTATGTAGTCATTTTGTGTCTCTGTGAGGTCATTTTGTGTCACTTTGTGGTTGTTTTGGTCCTTTTTGTCGTGTCTCTTTGCAGTTCCTTTGCAACTCCATGTGGTCATTTGGTGTTTCCCTGTGGTCATTTTGAGTCTCCCTCATCAGTAAGTTCTCATTTGACATTTGACATTTTGCAAGTAAAGGCCAGGTGGCCCTCTGACACTTTAGGCCCCTGAGCCTGTGCCTGGTGGGCCTGTTTAGTAATCCACCCATGCCTTAAACCTTGATTAAATGGCATTATATACTGTGACTACAGCCTGTATACAACAACCATTTGTCACAGCAATGTAAAGCTAAAAATCCTGTTTTCCATAGCTTATAAAACACAAAGCCTATCATGCCTAAAACCAAATTTACATCCGATATAATACCGCACTCTGCATCCAGAAACATGGTGGTAGATCATATGCAAAGGCTGGAAGTGTCTCCTCCAACACGGCTGTTATAATTTCACCCATGTGAGTAAGCGCTAGGCTTTGCAATACAAATTACATTTGCCTAGAGATCCCAACAAAGCACACACATGAAGGCAGTTGTTTTGCATGTTAGTGGTGTTGCCATCTACCAGATGGTGGTTTGACTTTAAATTCTTGGATTCACATGCAAACAACAACCCCCCGAGCCTTCCACAACTCAGAAACAGAGAACAACCCATCACCGTGCAAATAGACCATTCTAGAGACTTGAAGCCCTTCAATATCCCGTGTTGACAATTTCCTGGGATTTTAATCATTT